TAAGCGTGATTACCCCTCACCCCAGCAGGCCTGGGCTCAATCCCAGTCGGCGCCGCCGGGATGCTCTGAGGCATAACATCTCTGATCACGCCTTCCCTCGGAAGGGAAGCAAAGCCGCTGGTCCCCGGTTCATGAGTTGATGGGTCGATAGGTGGTAGGGTCCAGGTGTGGGAGCCGCCCTCCTGGCGTCGGCAGCACTGGTGCTCAGCACGGAAAACAAGATCGACGGAAAACAAATCCAAGAAAAAAAAAATATTAAGGGTTGTGTCCTAGACACGACCGCAGTATGACGTAGAACTACGCAAAGTTGGTGTATGTCGTGCATTTTTGACTATTATACTTTATCTTAATTTTTTCAAGTATTACAATGTTTCGGTTATGGTTCAACGTACGTGTATCTCTTAGAGGAAGTTAATATTCACTGTAATTATTTTTGAGAGGCATTGCGTACCACCGCAAACTACTTTATCAGAAATAATCTCAGTGATTATTCACTTTCGTTAAGAGACACATCTACCTTGAAAAGCAACCGTTTCGTGATGGGTGTGTGAGTGAAGACCACGATTTGCGTCCATTTTTACAGTGGACGCGCAATGCCCCCCTTCGGAAATGTTGCCATACCTTGAAACCACTGGAAGTGAAACGAGGAAGCTTTTTGGATAGCTATAGTTTTAAGATGTATTGTATAGTGAACTAGAAATCGCGGCACTGTAAAGTTTATTCGATTGTGCCTAGTAAAATAAAGTAATTAAAAATAAAATTGTACAATGTTCTCATAATATGATTTTATTGAACGTTTTTATTCAGCAATGAATTTGAATCATGGTTGGACCAAAAAATGCATGATGGCCTATTATATAAAGTACCATTTGTATGCTTAAGAGCCCGCAAGGCCGAGTGTAATAAACCAAACAACAGTCGCTAAATGAAAGGTATTATGATCACATAGAGCACATATTTTTTGGAATCGGTCAACCGGTTCCGGAAATATGAGCGGAACATGCTGCCAAACCATGAGGCTAATTGCGACCTCAAACGAATAAAACTAATCATGTGACACCTAAAATCACATTAGAATGAAAAAAAAAACTAGTTCAATGGTAGTCATTTTGGGACCCTGTGACACATTTGCCATGTTTTTAATCCTCCGGACAAGTGGCCAGTTTCTAAATATGGTCAGAAACCATTGAATCATTAAAATTCAACAACCAGGCAGTTATTAGGAATAGCCAGGATCCAATTTCCGGAAACCCTTAAGAAAGTAGCCAGTTTTAGGCTTGGATTTGTATAAATGAACCCAAGTCTCCTTCGACGTCATCGTTGGTTTTCAAGGTGATCACACCGTAGTCCACTTCGCTAGTGTACTTGTTAGCTAGCACATGCCCTGCTTACATTATGCTGGCTACTTTTTGCACAGTGCTATGCTAGTACACTAGCGCTACACACTTAGAAAAAATCATGTAAATTTAGGTGCTCTGAGACTGACATATACGACATAAAATTGAATCATAACAGACGCGAAATTCAACTCAATCAAATTTAGTTTTCGTCGAGAAAATAACTTTTCAGTCTCGGAGCACTTAATTTTACATGAAATATTTGTTTACGTCTGATCCTTTATGTCAAAGAAGGATTCCGTCACGTGTAAAATTAGTTATTTCTAAGTGTGTAGCAAATCCGCATAGATGTAAACCACATTAACTACTAACTCGCTCCTGCCTGAGCAGAGGCAGGAGAGCAACGCTGTTTTATATCTTTTCAGGTTCAAGCAGAATGATGTGCAACCAAGTGGTACTCGATTATGACGGCTGGGTTTGGGGAAAACATTTATTTCATGACAATATTTATAAAATTATCATTTGTAAATTTTTCCAAAGTTTTTTAAGGAAAATTGGAAAAGCATTTATTTCAGAAGATGCGTAAAGTAATATCCTATCGATTGGCGTATTTGGATTTTTATTTCATCTATAAATGACAAAGTTATAAGCGTTCAAAACCTAACACTACTTCACCACACATATTTTTTGATTTGCACCCCAATATAGTCGACAAAGACGTAGTTCTACGTCAAAAAATGTAAAGAAACCGAAAATCCATCTCCCACTGATTCATCCTTTCACATATATATTAAATTGATATTTTAAAGCAATAATCAAAATAAACAGACAATACATGAAAAGGCTAGTTGCCAGTTGCTAAAAAGTCTCATTTTTAAGGCCAAGTCACTAAAGTCACTTTTTCTTGTAGTAAGTCACTATTTTCAACTTTTTATCGTGAATTTCTTTTAAGATTGATTATTCTTGCGTTGTGACGCTTAATCGTCTTTCTCTATATACAGGATGTCTACTCATTTTTCTGTATAAAATTACCTGAGTTTTCCAAGTAAGTAAGTCCAAGATCTAAAAATAATCAATGCCTTAAAGTTTCGTATTCCATGTACATGTTCAAGATATTGAAAATATTCAAAGTGCCAGAATTAGGTAAAAAAATAAATGATTTATTTCAAGTTCGTAATTAACTTTATGAAAGATTAGAGATCTTCAATGCAGTTCCATTAACTTTACAACAACTGTAGAAGTTCTGAGGAATGAAAGGAAATGTTTAGACAAACTGCAGAAACTTCAAAGCCGTTCTTTTAGCATCCGAGACTTTTCAGGAACTTTTATGAAGTTCCTAAAGTTTCAGAGAACTTCACAGGTATCAAGCGAACTTGAGAAAGAAAACTTGAGGGGTATTGTGCAAATTTTTAAGAAGTTCTAAGCACCTCAGAAAAGCTAGATAGATTAAAAATCTATAATCGTAAATTTAGATAAATTCAAGATAGTTCCATGATGTGCTGAAAAACAAATCGAGAACCCTTAAGATGTTCCGCGAATTTCAGGGAAGTACAGAGACCTTCAGAGAATTTATGAAAACTTCAGAAACTTCACAGAAGTCCAGAGAATTTCAGAGAAATTTAAGGTGGCTACGGGAATTCTATTTATTTCCGAGCAGAACCGAGATCTTCAATAGAATTAAGAGCTCTATGGAAGCTTCGAGAACATCAAGACAGGTCAGAGAATCAAAGGGCAGTTTAAATAATTTCAAGGAAATATTAGAAACTTTAAAGAAGTTTCGTGAAACTCAGTGAATTTCCGAAAACTTCAGCAAAGCTCCGAGAGAATTCCTGGAAATTTTATGAACATCCGGAAAACGTGAGAGTATTTTATAGGTGTTAAATCATGGAGATTTCAATAAATTAAAAAAAATACGAAAATTTAGCTAAGTTGATCATCATCAACTTACATCATGATAAGAGTAAGTACATCAACGAAGTTCCATTAATAAAAATGCGAGAACTTTTAGCAAACAGCGATATCTTCAAGAAATTCCAGAGAACTAAATTTAGATATTTTTAGATAGTTTAATGATATTCAACGAAGTTCCGAGTACTTCGAGAACGATCAGATAGCTTCAGAATAATCCCATTAACTTAAGCAAATTTGCAGCGACTTACAAGGAGTTCCGTGGAATTGGAGGGTATTCCAAAAATTCTATGATTGATCCTAAAACGTCGGAAGCGTCAGGGAATAAGAATGTATATCAGAAAATTTGCTGGATTATTAAACAAATTTAGAGAACTTCAGGCAAGCATAAATAAGTTCAGGGAAAAGCGAGTGTTAATAATGGTTATAATACTTAAGGAACATTTTCGAAACTTCAAGGCAAATCGACTGATTTTAGTAAAGTTGCGGGTTCTTAAAAAAATACTGATAAATTCAGGGCAGTCGAGAAAACTTTAAAGAAATTCAGTAATCGTTTAGGCACCAGGAAAGTCTAGACTATTGATGAAGTTTTATATTAGTGTCGATAATTTAAGGGAAGTTTTATGAACTTCAGAAGAATCTTGAGAACTTCAGTGAAAATCATAAAACTATGTTAATTATTTTGTTCTAATTCCATGAAAATTGCGGAAGTACAAAAGTTCAATAAATTTAGAAAAAAAGGTCAGACACTTCACAGAAGGACAGTGATCTTCAGGAACTAAAAAAAATGTTAATTTTTTAAACCTCTTTATTTTTTAAAATTTATTTCTTACTGGAGATTAATGCACTGTGAATCTTTAAAGTGAATGAAAATAACTAGATATATTAAATGGTTGTATTTAAAATTCATTTTTTTTTTTATTTAAAATATGCTTAGTAAGAATTCTTTGAGACTTCCAGGTATTTTAAGGAAACAAAAATTTTCCTGAGGATTCCCGGTTTTACAGATTTTTGAAGTTAGACACCGTGGCTAATACCGTGGGTTTGGTTAAAAACTTTCTATTGCATCTTTCGCTTTAAATGTTCATATCGTACATAAGTGTTTTTAAGTGAGATTATAATTGAATAAGTCTAAAACAGTAAACATTTATTTGATACTCTTTCTCTTAGGTCATATTTTAGTCACTATTTTTACAACTATAAGTCACTATTTGGTCACTTATTTATTCAACATGGTAACTAAAATCACTATTTCTGGGGTTGGTTGGAAATGCTAACATGAAGCTTCAGTGTGATGATTTATTAGCTAGAGAATGATCTTTAGAAGAGGGTAGGTGGATAGTTCCGTTAGAGTACGGCAGTATGAAAAATTGAATAGAAGTTGAAAATGAGCGAAGGGCCATTAATGCGACAGTTTTCAAGATGGACGCACATTTTTGCCTAACCCGTACGATGTACGCGGGGACTTGAAGTATGTCTCCAAGTCCACAGGCAAAAATGTGCGTCCCTCTATTTTTGACAGCAGTGATCGCTACCAGCCCTGACATATGGAAAAGTAATTACTCAACCCATTTCAAAAACTAATGAAGGATTGCGTTACAAGTTTGTAATTTAAACCGAAATTTGAACTCCTTCGACCCACCGATCAGTCGAGAACCTATAGATTGAGAAACGCTGTATCCCTCAAGATTCCAGCTGATGCAAGAGCTGATGCTCGAGTTTGCCTACTAATTGAAATCATAAAATCCATTTCAGCGCCTCGTTCGATGCCCTGGTAGTGAAAGCCAGTGGTCTGGCAGCGGGAAAAGGTGTAATCGTAGCGGAAAACAAGGACCAAGCATGTGCCGCTGTGGACGAAATCCTTGGCGACAAGAAATTCGGTTCAGCCGGCGACGTGGTAGTGGTCGAGGAAAAACTAAACGGCGAAGAAGTTTCGGTCCTTGCCTTTGTGGATTCCAATACCGTTCGCGTCATGCTGCCTGCTCAGGATCACAAACGGCTGAAGAATGACGATTGTGGACCGAACACCGGAGGAATGGGAGCTTACTGCCCCTGTCCGATCATCACGCCGGAAGAGCTGAAGATCGTCACGAGAGAAGTGCTGCAGCGTGCCGTCGATGGCCTACGCAAGGAAGGCATCAAATACAACGGTCAGTAACTATGATATTTCTTTGTACACATCCATCTACTACACAGTTGATACGTACGTATTATAGCGATAAGGATTGTTGTTATTTTTGAGTCGATCACTTGGGCCGGGTCAAGTACTAGGTTGTAAACAAGGGTTGCTGTTGCCAATACAACTCACTTTCTTTGATAATCACATTTCGCTACGTCACGTGATTGCAGGCGTTTTGTATGCCGGAATGATGCTTACCCCCAGCGGGCCGAAAACGTTGGAGTTTAACTGCCGCTTCGGAGATCCGGAAACCCAAGTCATTTTGCCATTGCTGGAAAGTGACCTGTTTGAGGTTATGGAAGCCTGTAGCGAGGATCGGCTGGAGGGGATTGAGTTGAAGTTCCGACAACATGTCCATGCCGTCGGAGTTGTCATGGCCAGCAAGGGCTACCCGGAGACATCCACCAAGGGTTGTGTTATAAAAGGTAATTTACAGACGATCTTTGTACTGGCGAACCACTGAATTCCATTCGTGTTTTTTTTTCGCAGGCCTTGAGGCGGTTGACAAGCGCCCAGATCATATGGTATTTCACAGTGGAGTAGGCAAAAACGCTGACGGCGAATTCGTTACGAACGGCGGTCGAGTGCTGATCAACGTAGTACTGCAATCGAATCTTCGCTCAGCAGCCGCCCTGGCAACGGCAGCATGTTTCGATGTTAAGTTTGACGGATCGCAGTACCGGACTGACATTGCCCAGAAGGCACTGAAATAGTAATACCAATTGCATTACATATTCTCCATTCGCCATATATTCATGAATCGATCGGCTCTATCTTCACTGTAGTATAGTATAGTTAAAGATTCAATAAACATTCGATGACCTTTGGTCCATAAACACAGAAAATATCCCATTAGTTGTTCATTTTAGCGGGTTTAAGACGGTAAGAAAGCCACCTTTTCAATTTTTCTTTTGTCAACAGTGCGCAACTTACGTACAAGGGGAGTGGAGTCGACCGAGACGCAGAAAGTGACCTCCTAAAGCGAATCAAGCCGTTGGCCATGGGTACGGATCGACCGGGAATTCTGAGAACCTTCAAAGGATTCGGAGGCCTTCTTAGACTGAACGAGGTTAGTTGATGAACTTCTATCGGACATTCCGAATCCAACTGATCATATGAACTGCTTTTAGGTAACTTATGACGATAACTCCGGTAAGCAAGTTCCCTACAAAGATCCGGTGCTGGTACAGGGAACGGACGGTGTTGGTACCAAGCTGAAGATTGCCGAAACTATGAACTACTGGGATAGTATCGGCATTGACCTGGTGGCAATGTGTGTGAACGATGTTCTATGTGCAGGTGCTGAACCGTTGGCTTTCCTAGACTACATCGCATGCGGTAAACTGGATGTTCCAACGGCTGCGCTAATTGTCAAGGGCATCACAGAAGGTTGTCGCGAAACGAACTGCGCCCTGTTAGGAGGAGAAACCGCCGAAATGCCATCTATGTACAAACCGGGCAAGTATGACCTGGGAGGGTATTGCGTAGGAGTTGTAGAACATGACGCGATCTTGCCACGGGTTGCCGATATCAAGAACGGCGACCTCCTGATTGGACTACCATCCAGCGGAGTTCACAGCAACGGATTCAGCTTGGTCAACAAAATCTTGGACGCCAACGGCTACAAACTCACAGACATTGCTCCGTTCAGTAAACATAAGCTATCGTTCGGACTTGAATTGTTGAAACCTACCACCCTCTACATCAAGTCAGTGCTGCCTGTTTTACGAAAAGGTCATGTCAAGGCCTTGGCTCACATTACCGGTGGCGGTTTGGTTGAAAATATTCCGAGAGTGCTTTCTGCTAACTTGGCAGTGGAAATCGATGCCAATGACTTCAAGATCCTGCCAGTCTTTGGTTGGTTGGCAGCCAACGGTAATGTTCCTGATTCCGAAATGCTGAGAACCTTCAACTGCGGTGTTGGTATGGTTCTTGTGGTTCCCGCCGATGACAAGTCATGGGAGTCGCTGAAAGCGTACGGAGGAGCCGTCATCGGTAAGATTTGCGATCGTAAATCAACGACCACTCCTCAAGTTGTCGTCAAAAACTTCAGCCAAGCGATTGCCAAAGCTTCCGAACCGTTCAACAAAACTACCCGATCCAACGTGACCATAACGTACAAGGACAGCGGCGTCGATATCACTGCTGGGGATGACCTTGTAACGAAGATTAAACCTTTCGCGAAAGCCACCATCAGAAAGGGATGTATCGGAGGATTGGGCGGCTTTGGCGGTCTCTTCCGATTGAAGGAAGCTGGAACATTCAAGGATCCTGTGCTAGTTCTGACGACCGACGGCGTGGGAACAAAGCTGAAAATTGCCCAACAGACTAACGCTCACGGTACGATCGGAATCGATCTGGTTGCTATGGGCGTCAACGATGGTCTATGCAGTGGAGCGGATCCGATGAATTTCCTAGATTACTACGCCTGTGGTCATTTGGAGGTTGACGTTGCCGCGCAGGTGATTTCAGGAATCGCCAAGGGCTGTACAGATAGCGGAGCTGCCCTACTTGGAGGTGAAACCGCCGAAATGCCAGGCATGTACGAGAAAGGAAGCTACGATCTGGCTGGGTTCGTTTTGGGTATCACAGAATATGATCAGCTACTACCAAGAACCGATTCGATAACCGATGGTGATCTGATCATTGCACTACCCTCTTCTGGACTTCATAGCAACGGTTTCAGCCTGGTCCATAAGGTAATGGACTATGCAGGACTAACCTACAGCGACATAGCACCGTTCAGCGCTACAAACAAATCATTCGGAGAAGAACTACTCACACCAACCAAAATATACGCGAAGGAAGTTCATCCTCTGTTGAAATTGAATCTCGTAAAAGCCTTGGCTCACGTGAAAACTGGCGGTCTCGTCGAGAACATCACCAAGATCCTTCCTCAGGGCTTCCAGGTTGAAGTTGATGCTAAGCAATTCCACATTCCTCCCGTTTTTGGATGGTTGTGCAAAGCTGGTCACCTAGCTGAACAAGAAATGCTCCGAACCTTCAACTGCGGAGTTGGAATGACCCTGATTGTCGGCAAGGAGCATGCTCAAACTGTGCTGGACGAACTTCAAAGCTTACGAGCGACTTCAATTGGACGTGTGCAACAATCCAACACGAGTGGACCCAAAGTCAGTGTTGTCAACTTTGCTGAATGCCTCAAAATATCCCAACTGACGTGCTGCTTGCCAAAGAAACGAATTGCCGTTCTGATTTCTGGTTCAGGTAGCAACCTGCAAGCCCTTATTGATGCTTCAAGAGACACAAACTTCGGGATTCGTGGAGAAATTGTGTTTGTCATTTCGAACAAAAGCGACGTCTACGGACTGGAACGTGCAGCGAGAGCCGGTGTTCCATCGAAGGTTATCCTGCACAAGCAATTCCCTACAAGAGAGCAATTCGACGCAGCCGTGTCCGAGGAATTGGACCGGCAGAAGATTGACCTCGTTTGCCTGGCTGGCTTCATGCGAATCCTGTCCGAGGAATTTGTGAAAAAGTGGAAGGGACGATTGATCAATATCCACCCAGCTCTGCTGCCGAAGCACAAGGGAATTCATGTTCAACGGCGAGCACTCGAAGCCGGTGATTCCGAGTCCGGCTGTACGGTGCACTATGTGGACGAAGGAGTGGACACCGGGGCCATCATTTTGCAGAACAGGGTGCCAGTGCTGAAGAACGATACGGAAGAAACGCTTACGGAAAGAATTCACCGTGCGGAACATGTTGCATTCCCGAACGCACTACGGCTGGTAGCCAATGGGTTGGTGAGTTTGGGCAAAGATGGTAAGGTGCAGTGGCACTGAATCGTTGGATATAGCAGAAAGTTCGTACGACTATTACTAAAAATGTAAGCATTAAGATGTGAAATAAAGTTTATTAAATAATCCCCAAAGCTGTGCGCAGTAAACTTTTCACACGATAGTAGAGAATTGCCATCCGCTTCATGGTCCAAAAGTCTACGGAAATGCTTTAAGCTTTTAAGCTTCGTTTGGAACATCCCTTTGAGCTACCTTCAGAAATGGTTGTGGTCAGAGGTGGCAACAGTACATTTTTTGAAAAACCATCGTCCAGAGCGAAACAAAACAGCCAGCACACGGGCGGCCGTTTATAACTACATTCCAAGCGAACAGCGGAGATAGAGAATAAATAAAATCTCGCAGCCTGATTTTTCCAAACAGTTTATTGTAATGAAATTTTAGCTGCAGGCTTGCGTGTGACAGTAAATTACCAACTCCCTTATTTACGCATAATTTTAACTTCAATGCTTATGAGTGGTCAGTCTTCATTATTATCTTTTACTTCCATGCAATAAACATCAAATACATGCAGTAATTAGCCAGAAATCAGCAAAATTCTACACGACATAAATTTATGTCGCGCGTGCCGCCGGTCTTGTCTGCTTCTTTGTACGAAAATGTTCTGTCGCTGGCAGAAAACAGTTTAGAAATGTCATGACATTTTTGCCGCTTGCCAGTTTGCTTTTGTGTGTCGTCACAATGGTTATCGCAAAAAGTATCAAATGTTAAGGAAAAAATGTTAAACTCCAGGACTCGTGCCACCACTGGTTGTGGTACATTACCGCGAGTGTCGGGGGCGACCCCGGCGTAGTGGTTAACATCTTTACCTCTCACGCCAAAGTCACGAGTTCAAATCTCACCCCCGGACAAGTCACGAATGACCCAAGAGTGTTAAAGTGACTATAATAAAAAAAAAAAAAAAAAAAAAAAACGCAAATGTCACTTGAATGAGATACTGCCTTCTTTTGATTGCAACTCGTTCTTCTCACATGCGGGGTAATGGATATCGTGGTGATGGTGTTTGGGAAAATGCCATTCGGGGTAACGGAACGGCATTCGGATTATGCAGCACAATTTAGAACTGCCCCCTTGGAAACGGACTTGTTCCGCTTGATGATGTTAGTAACCCGTGCGAGTTGGTGGATGGTACAGTGGCCTTTCCGAAACCCGAATTGCTCTTTGAGAAAGATGTTATTGTCATTTGAAAACACCAGCAGACGGCAGAGTATCAACTTTTCGAATAGCTCCGATATGGAAGAAAAGAAGCTGTTGGGGCGATAACTTTTGGCACTGGTAGGGTCTTTGCCAGACTTGTGGATTGGAATGACTTTGGCTAACTTCCATCATGCAGAGAAGTAGCCAAGCACTAAAAACTTACTGAAGACCGCTGTACGGTGCTCGAAGAAGTCAACATTCAAGTTTGTCAACTCGAGGTTTACAACTTCATCGACACCAGTGGCCTTCATGTTCTTGGTTGATTTAATCGCTGCTATCACCTCATCAGCCGATATTCTATTTTCTTCAGGAACAACTACGGGGTATAGACTGTCTAGTTATAGACATGCGGATGCCAGTTTGACGTATACAAAAGAACTGTCAGAGCGTGTATCCAAACGAGCAGAAAAATGTCACCCGTTTTTGTTGGGGGAAGTATTGTAATTTTGGATATTAAAGATTTATTAAATTATTTGAAATATTATGTTTCGAAAGTAAAACGTATTATTTAGTTAAATTTGAAATTGATAAAAGCTTACGCAGTGAGTGAGAACAATTTACCTCGATTTTCCAGAGAAAAGTGTTCGAATAAGAAAATTTTTTGAAACGGTTTGGATGAAGCTTGGTCCTAAAGTAGATTTAAGAACCAACATTCAAACTAAGGTGTATTTGACGAATTAAGTTTCATCAGATTTGTTCTTTATACTAAAGATTAAATAAAACTACAAACTACTGTGAATTTTTACAGAATAATTTATTCAGTTAATTGCTTCAACATTCTTCAGACTGCCATTGAACGACTGTCGCATCGTTTTTCTCTTGTAAGTTTCACGCGGTTCACCTTTAGCCTAAACTGGATGTATCTGTTAATCAACTTATTTTTCAATCCATGACAGTCGACAATGTGAGATGCTGGAATTCTATTCATTTTGTTCCACAAAAGTTTTTCCAGATTCTCATTTTTAGTCATCAAGATCTCTTTTTGTTGCTTAAACGTTTCTTCTAGTTCCACAAAAAAATTGAACGTTGCCTCATTAACGGTTGTTAAAGCGTCCCTTGTATAGTCGTATGCTGTAGAACCGGAAATAAATCTGGTCCTGAATCCTTCAGTTACGCTGTCGTCTGACCATTTGGCAATTTTCTTCAACCCGGTCATTAAGGAGTATTGGTCATCGTTCACGACGCTTTTAATTTTTGACAAATGGTTCTCATAGTCTTCTAGTTTTCTTTTTAGGTCCTGGTTTTCGTTTTTGTACCGGTCAATCTGACTGAAAAAAATCAATAAATCAAAATAAAACCCCACAAAAATTAATAATTAAAAACTTACTCAACAGCGTTAAAACATTCATAGCACGACGAAGCCTTTTCCTATGTTGGCGGATTTGAATTTTCGGCATCCGATCCGTTTAGGTCAACAGCAGCTTCACAAAATTCTTCACGTTGCATGGACAGATTTGAATTCGCTTGATCCGTGTTAAGAGCATCGACCGAGTCGAAATTCCAGAAGCTTTCATCCAGGTATTCCACCTCGCCATAATCTGAAGCTTCTGTATCAGTGCATAGCGTTTTCGGTTCTGGAACTGAACTTAACTGAGGGACGGCTCGAAACCACGGAACAGCACCATTGATCTTCCGGATCTTTCCAGCTGTGTCTCTATACAAATCATCCTCTTTAAAATGCAGCTGAAAGGGATTTTTTTTATAAATATACCACTCAATCTTTGAAATTAAATTAAAAAAAAAACTTACACTACACAAACGGTGACTATCAGAGAGTCTGAAAGCAGCAGTCAACCCGCAGAATCCAAGCCACAACTCGAGATCAGATTTTTTCACCGGAAATCGAAAAATTGCCACGTTTTGGAGCTCGCTTCGGGACTCATTTTCACAATGTGGAAAAAAAGCACTTCATTTTTGGGACATTAGCCGACGGAAACAGGTGAAAAACGAATGAGGAAGTAAAAATCAACAAACAAGCTGCTGCCGAAATCGGTTTGTTTTGATTTTTGCTTTGAGTCATGAGGCGATTGAACTTTTTCCAGTGCTGGCAAATTTATGGTGGTATATTTTCAGTTGCCAGATCTACGGATTTTGCATCCGCATGTCTATAACTAGACAGTCTATACTACGGGGGTGGCAGCGACTCTAGACATTGCCTCCGATACTGCAGGCTCGTCGGGACTCACCATGGCTTGGCCAAGGTTATGTGAATTCACAAACTGTCGACCAAGAGCATTCACCTTTTCAACTAGGGTTCTGAGTAAGGATGGATCCAAATTCTAATTAGGAGAAGAAAGGGATGGGACTCGGCTTATTTTTTAAAATCTTTGCTATTTTCCAGAATGGTTTAGCACAATCTGGGAGAGAGCAAAAGGCTTGGATGATTTTGTTCAAACGGTTGCAATTGGTCTTCAGGTTACGAATCGTGTTGCGGAGTTTAATGAGGTCTTTAGTGGGCCTGACAAGGTTCAGAGTATTACTCCCTGGCCCGTGAAATCGCTTCATCGATGGAGCGCAGACACCGGTCGATGTCGTCGGTCGTTTCCGGGTGGACGTCATAGTCGATACTGGTGTCAACGAAGTGTTGGAACTGCAACCAATCTACCCCATGGTAATTTCACCGCAATGCTTGGAATTTGTTGACTGAGGAACCCACTTCAGCCACCACCGGATAGTGGTCCGAGCTGAGTTTCTGATACACGACAGATTGTTAGATGTTGTTGCCCATGTTGCTGATGTAGATATCGATGGTGGCGTGAGCACCGGACCTACTCAACCGGGTGGGAGTGTCCGGACTCAAAATAGTGCCGTTATGATTGCCCCGACTGTTGCCCCCCAAGCTTGATGTTTGGTGTTCAGGTCGCTAGCGATGATGTATTTTCGCCACCGCCGAGTCAGCTTGATGATATCTCATCGAAGGACCCGCTGCCGACCCATCCCTGTTGGTGACTTGTCTGGGGCAGTAAGGTGATTGGACCAAGCGATGTGCCGACTTCAACCCCGATGGCTTCCATAATTTTTAGTTGGAAGCTCGGCAGCAGGTGGCAGTTGATGTTAAGCCTCACAGCAAGGGCTACTCCCCCTCCTCTTGCACTGGATTCTGTCGAGTCTCAAGAGCCGAAAGTCCGATAGATAGATGTTGAGTTCCGGCTTTAGATAGGTGTCGGTGATGATCGCAATGTCGATCTCCTTGGCGTTAAGGAAATACACAGTTCGATATGCTATTAATGTAAAGGGTGATACGGTCAAAATTTGGTCAATATCAACTTGACGTATTTCTTTCAATTTTGCATTTAAAAAACCTGAACACCCCTCATTTTGAAGGTGTGTGTGTGTAGAATGTTGCTCCTATTTTGATTTTGGAATTCACTCTTCAGTTGTCAAAGTGCCGTCCAAGCAAGAAGAGCAGCGTATCAAAATTTTGCTCGCGCATCGCGAAAATCCGAGCTACTCGCACGCAAAGTTGGCAAAATCGCTAAAAGTTGCCAAATCAACCGTTACAAATGTAATTAAAGTGTTTGGGGAACGTTTGTCGACAGCCAGGAAGTCTGGATCGGGGGGAAATCGAAAACCGGAAGCCGCTGAGACGACAAGAGAGTTGCCGGTAGTTTCAAGCGAAACCCTAACCTCTCTCTCCGAGATGCCGCAAATAAGCTGGGTGTATCGTCTACAACCGTGCATCGAGCCAAAAAACGAGCCGGACTATCGACTTACAAGAAGGTAGTGACTCCAAATCGCGATGATAAACAAAATACGACGGCCAAAGCGCGATCCCGGAGGCTGTACACGACTATGCTGACGAAGTTTGACTGCGTGGTAATGGACGAC